AGACCATGTGTTCAAAACAATTGATGCCCTACCAATTACTGCTCATCCTATGACTCAGTTCACTACTGGTATTATGGCCCTTCAGGTACTGCTTGTTGCTATACAGTTTCCCTCTTATTTGACTACATACATATTTGCTGTATTTTCCCAATTAATTCCTGCTGCTATTTCCTGTAGCAATGCTGTTCATTGTTGTTATTATGTAAAATTTACTTCTAAAGGATAGCTCCTCTTTTCTTTCTTCTTCTCTATCTCTTACTTGGAAGTGGTTGCTGTAGTCCTCCTGAATATGATATTACTGCATTGCATTGATGAAAACCTCCAACTGATGACCTCTGGCTTTTATTCTTTATGAGTTATCATGTTGAACATTTTTGTCATTTTTTTCTACCAAAAAATTTGCTGCTATTTTGCATCTTATATACAGCTGTCTCTTGTCTTTCTTTTCTTCAGGTTCAAAGCGAATTTCAGAAGGCATATGAGAAAGGGATCCACAAAACAAAGTAAGCTATTTCTTATGATGGTTTTAACTCTTACCTGTCTTGCAGTGTCTTCATCTAGTCAAATGTTAAGGTTGATTTTGATTCCAGGTTTTGGGAGCCAACATATGAGGACTGCCTTAGTTTGATAGCTCAAGTTCCTGTCGTTGCAGCCTATATTTACCGTAGGTAAGTAAACCTTCCACAAGCCATTTAGTGGTGGTGGTGATTTATGGGTGGAAAATGGTTACATATTGTTAGTGTTTCTGTATATAATATCTTAATAAGCAGAAAAAATTGAAAGAAATGAGCTCTCGGGTGTTAGAGAGAAAAAATAAAATGAGCTTTTAAGTATTAGTGTTGAAGTTTCTAGGCATTTAATGTGATTCAGGTGATTTATTACTTTGAAATTGATTGCCTAGCGCATATTCTTATGCGTTATAATGGTTCCTCTATAGTGTAGCGAATGATATAAAAAATAAATATATACAAATATGTAGATTGGAACTGTAAGAATTTGTCTGTTTTCTGCACTGTTGCTGCATTTCTATGTCAATTCATCCATATCAGCAGCTGGACAGTGTAAACTGTGATTCTGTGAAGGTGGCAATTTATGGTTTGGTTTGTTCATCAGCTGATTCAGCTTGCTTAATCTCATTTTATCTTTTATTTTCTTGCTGAAGGATGTATAAGAATGGACAAAAAATACCATTGGATGACTCTCTTGATTATGGAGGGAATTTTGCACAGATGTTGGGATTTGACAGCCCTGAAATGCTTGAGCTGATGCGGCTATATGTCACAATTCACAGGTTAACATTGGTCAGATTGTTCAGAAACCACATGTAATAAAAGAATTTACTTCAATCTTAATAAACTTCAATCTTTTATCATGCAGTGATCATGAGGGTGGAAATGTTAGTGCACACACTGGCCATCTGGTAATGCTTCTGGAAATCAACTTACTGTTATTTTGCTTCTGAATTTATGGAATTCTTCTGAGCTCATGCTGAAGAAAGATATATATAAGAAAATCGGGAAGCATCTTTGTGCAACATATATTATTCTTGAGCATTGGAAGTCTGACCAGTTTCTTAACTCTATTTAGGTGGGAAGTGCACTCTCAGATCCTTATCTGTCATTCGCAGCTGCTTTAAATGGATTGGCTGGCCCACTTCATGGATTAGCCAACCAGGTATAATATCTTACTTCACCTTTTTTCATTTCTCTGGTTAATTGGTTCTTCCTGCATGATTATACAGCACAAGTTCATACTGCTGATTGCCTGATTATACACTTTTGGCGGAATAAGATCCTTGGGACAATTCTTTTCTTCTTCCTGCTTCTGAAGAGATGCTTCTCTATGTTCATGCCCTCAATAAGCTGCAGACTTATGGGCATGGTCTTCAGCTCCTATTAAATTCTGTAATTACACCGTTAAACATGTTTAATTCCAAAAACATTCTCACTTATACTCTTTGTTGGTAATGGTAGTTGTATTTCATATTGAGTGTCAGTGTTTTATATGTTACTCGGACTCTGGTACCCATGTCCAACATGGATATGTGTCCAAGTTGGCTATTTTGTGAAATTTGTCCATGATTTTTGTTTGAAATATAGTGTCCTACCCATGTCCAATTGTACATGGGTTCTTGATGTGAAATAAAGAGTCCAAGTAACACAGCTTTCCTATTGTAGTTCAAATAAGTAAACGGCATGCAAATCCTGAATAGTTTACTATGTGTATCTATTATTCCCTCCCTCATTGTATTTTGCTTGGTCCCATTAGTGGCCTAAAATTGCTAATGGTCTAAGTTTCATGTTTGACTTGTTCTGTTTCAGGAAGTCCTGCTATGGATCAAAAAAGTAGTAGATGAATGTGGAGAGAACATCTCGACTGAGCAGTTGAAAGATTATGTTTGGAAGACATTAAACAGCGGCAAGGTAAATGAATAAATTCTTGGTTGCCAGCATATAGTCTCTTCAGTATTTCTAACTGCTAGAACTTCCTTCATTTCTTAAAACATGGCCCCAAAAGTCTTGTTACAAGACTGACAACTATGATGAAGTACAAGCTTCAGTGGATGATTGGATGATAATTGTAGCAAATAGGTGGGAACTAACAACTAAGTCATGTTTTCCCTGGAAAATCTTGCTGCAACAAAGATGTTATCATCATTTGCAGGGCAGGTGCATATATTGGTATAAAAATAGGGTGAATCAATTCTAGTAAAAATTAGGAGATTAAGAGAGGGAACAGGACACTTGAGCCCTTTGGTAGAGGGGCTATGGAAATATTATTATGCATCTTGTAGGCTAGCGTCATACATATCAGGAAAATCAACTTTCAGCCTTTTGCATGGGGGTTATAGTAGATTTTTCATTACCAAAAAAAAAAAAAAACGAATGCATGTCTTAATGAGAGTTTTTTCAAAACATCATTTTTTGATAATAGGTGATGAAATTGACCATTGAATGAATAATCATATTTGGTCGATAACTTTATAATATTTTTTTATGTTGGACATCTTTTTCCTTATTCAATGTTATTTACTTCGTATAATGTTTTCCTTTAATGATATACCGGAGTAGATAGAAATTTGTTATACTACATACAATATTTCTGTGTCAGCTCACCTCATACATTTTCAAATGTGTAGGTTGTTCCTGGATTTGGTCACGGAGTTCTTCGAAAGACAGACCCAAGATACACATGCCAGAGAGAATTCGCATTGAAGCACCTACCTAAAGATCCACTTTTCCAATTGGTATTTTTGAATTTTAACTAGATAAAGGATTCTATAATTTCTAATGCCATTTCTTGACTTTTATACTTTTGAGATCACTTCTTTTTTTTTCTTTTTTTTCTTTTTTTTTTTTTCAAATATAGGTGTCAAAGCTGTATGATGTGGTGCCCCCTATTCTTACAGAGCTTGGAAAGGTAGATGGTTAATTATGCATATTTTCTGCTATTAATTGTTCTTGTTAAATTTCTGATGCTCTAATCAAGTGAAAATTCGCTAGTTTTTTACTAGATGTTGTAGTTAACTGAAGTTACTGAATATTTGGATCTTGTAGGTTAAAAATCCATGGCCGAATGTTGATGCTCATAGTGGAGTTTTGTTGAACTACTATGGCTTGACAGAAGCAAGGTACTCTTTGATTCTCCTTTGTGATTTAATTTTCAATTTATTTTTCCTTACATTGCAATTAAATATACTCTTTTTAACAGGTATTATACAGTCCTATTTGGGGTATCAAGGAGTATTGGAATTTGCTCGCAGGTTCGTTCATTTTTTTTTAGGAAATTGTTTGTCAATTTCCTTTGTAAACTATAGCCAAGTATGGGACCAGTTGTTCATTAATTTTGTCTCCTCTTCTCGCAGCTAATATGGGATCGAGCTCTTGGTTTGCCGCTAGAAAGGCCAAAGAGTGTGACAATGGAATGGCTTGAAAACTTTTGTAAGAAAGGAGCATAATACTGATGTGCGTCATGTTAACTTGTCATTACGAGTTTACAGTAACATAGATTAGTGGATAAAATTATCCTTTTGGAAGTGAAAGGATAGAGAGGAGAATTTAGTATCCTCTATCTCTTGTAACGAGTGTTGCGTTTTGTAATTTTCACATGTACACGGTCATGGATCTCAAAAACACGAGTCTGAAGAGTTATATGATAGGAATTGTTATCAAGGAAAATAAACATTTTCAGGTATTAGTGTTATGGTATTTGTTATTTTGTTAGTATTGGTTGTTATAGAATATGTTTGGCTCTGCTCAAACATACATGAATGATGAACCTTGAGGGTGGCTATTTGTTTGCTGCTCAACCTACTTTGCTGTAATAATCACATTTTATGCTACCGTGTAGGATCTAATTTACGTTACCAAATTTTATAAGGTCTTTCAATACTTTTGTATGCTAGAGAGTGCTTACGACTTGTTATAATCAGCTCAGCCGGCCTTTGTTCAACAAGGATCAGTGACATATATGGACTCGTGTTAAACACTACAGAGTAAAACGAGTAGAGGTTGGAGTAATGGACGAATTGATCTAATGTGTTAATCTTACACATTACATTAATCACTACAAAGTAATAATTTTAGAGGTTGGAGTAATAAAAATTAAATTTAGTCATATTTCATATGTTACCACCTTGAAACAACAATAACTAATCATTAAGATGATATTGCCTGTTAATGTTATACTAGTATTTTGTTGGTATATCCTCGTAAAGTAACATTCTCAGTCAGAATGATAACTGTTCAAGAACGATAACTGTTACATTAAAATGTCATTATATGACTCACGTTACCTAAAATCCATGCTTTGTATTACCGCATAACTGAATGATTAACTGTGTAATTTACTGTCCAAGAATAGAATTAAAAGATATGTTTCGAATATTTATGGACTTTAGAACAACTATAAAATAAAGATTAGCTTTTCTGTATTATGTACAATTTTATTTATATTCATTTTTTGTTAAGGAAAAAAGAGAGAAAAAATAATTTAAAACAATGGCTACGATTGTTGCTCCTGAGAAGACGTCTCCTATTGATGATGCCTATGTTATCAAAAAATCATGCAGAGGTTTTTCTCTACTTATATTCCCCTGCGAAATCTTTTATTTCTCAAATAACCTTTCTAGCTAGTTTTTAAATATAAAATGTATTAACCAAACAATATTAGTTTTTTCCCCCTAAATTTTGCACTTTGCACGATCCTGAGACCCGAGAACACGTGCGGAACATAATTAAAGAGTTGCAAATACTAAAGTAATATCCCATTGTGCCATTGGTGGATATTCGGAATACTTTTTTTTTAAATTCAAGTCTAATTTTGATGTTCATATGCATGGCGCATGATGTGCATGTAGTGTACTCGTTGCCAAGTATACCTTACTATAAGTTTAGATCTACATATGTCCAATATAAGAATTTGTGAGATTTGAAAGGTGATAATTGATTGTTGATCTTAAGTTATCTTGTGCTTAGGATTAGGAACCGATGAGTCAGCAATAATTTTATTGTTGGGTCACCGAAATGCAAGTCAAATAAAGCTAATTAAACAAGCTTATCGAGAAGTATATCAGGAAGATCTCATCAAGCAGCTTAAATGTGAAATTTCAGGGGATTTTGAGGTTTGTCTTTAAAGCTGCATTTTCGATCTTTATTCATTCTCTAATATTTATAAACCTGTCCATGTTACTATTACTTGTGGTTGGTGGGTACGTTCATGAAATCTTGGTATCATGTAGCCGACCCTATCATTAGGATTAAGGCTTCAATTGTTGATGTTTGTTATTTTTTACTATGTTACTCGTTGAATTAATTATTTATGGAGTACTTACTTATTTTCTTCATCACCAAAAAAATAAAAAATGAAAAAGAAAGCAATATGCCAATGGGTTATCGATCCTGTTGATCGTGATGCAATTCTAATCCATGAGGCATTGAAGAAAGCAATACCTGATTACAATTTAGTAGCGGAGATTGTGAGTATCAAATCACCTGAAGAACTCCTCACAGTTAAGCGTGCTTATCACAAAATCTACAAGCGCGCGCTTGAAGAAGATGTTGCAGCTCACACCACTGGTAAAATTAGAAAAGTACGTTACTTAAAGTCTTGTAGGATAGTACCCAAAACTCGAGGTCAAATGTCATCTACCTTATTGAGTACTTGATTGCACTTTCTTTTTTTTCGCGCAGTTTTTGGTGGGAATTGTTAGCACATACAAGTACCATGGTGATGAAATTGATGAGATAGTAGCATACTCAGATGCAAATACTCTTCGCGATGAAATTCAGGATGAACAATCTTTCCACGACGAGGTCACAAGAATTATCAGCACAAGGAGCAAGCAACAACTCTTGGCTACCTTCAATCAGTTCAAGGACATTCATGGAACCTCCATTTCAAGGGTATATACCCTTAATAATTTGTCACTAAATAATTAATTTAATTTTTCACTATAAAGTTGCATTAAATAAATTATTTAGTCTACTAATCATAACCTTTATGTGAGGAATTAGGCTCTAAGAGGTGCACCAGAACAAGAATTTTTTCAGACTGTAAGAGTGGCTGTTAAATGCATCAAAAATCCTCAAAAGTACTTTGCTAAGGTATGAAATTCAGATGCTATGATTACATTTTTTTTAAGTACAACTTACTCTTTTTTTCAACTAGAATACTGATTGGAGTTAATTCTCTTTCAAAAGATCTTGCGCAATGCGATTGTTGGACTTGGAACGGATGAAGATGTTCTTACTCGTGTGATTGTTACACGAGCAGAAATCGACTTGAAAGAAATAAAGGAATTATACTTGGAGAGGAACAACATTTCCCTTGATCAAGCTGTAGCTGGAGATACTTCAGGAGATTACAGAGCATTTTTACTAACTTTGTTGGGAAGTGATGGATATTGAGACCTTAAATTAGAGCATTTCTAATAAATAAGAACATTAAGAAGTTATAGGCATTAATCTTTCTAGTTGCAACAATTCTAATAATTCAATGTTATATTGAATGCACTCGTTCTTTTCAACTCTTATTAATCCCCCTTTCATGAATTTTACAGATATGATGTTCTTGGTTAATAAGATTATTTTGCCCTATAAAAGAAGTCTAGCACCAGTGTACCACCCTCTCCGAAACAAGAAGGAGAGAAAGGAAAATAAAGAACATTACAATGTATTACACCGGTAATAAACCCTGTCTGAACAAAACTTTGAACACAATGATACCATGTGACTTCAGACCTTGAACATTTTCAAAATTCAGTAGTAAAACTGTTTCTACAATGTGGGAAAATAATGATGGATTTGATCTTAATTACATTATATAATAGTTAAACACATATACATATTTGCAGGCTACAATGTACTACATTACTACTTTAATATACAGGTAAAACTTTCTTTCAAACAAGCATCACTTTCCATTCTTAGAAACGGCAGACTGCACTTGCATCAGTCTCATGTTCTCTTGCTTTAATAACTCTCTTACTCATTCTAATATTTTCGGCAATAAACCTCTATTAGTGAAAAAATTGTTCTCACTTCCTCAACCAATATTGGGAGCACCAAGACCTCATGGGAATAATGAATATGCGCATGTTAGAGCTCACAAGTATCGTTGCTCCATTGGGTCAGAAATATTGAAGGCTTGCAAATTAGGTGTATGAGTATTGTCTACTCAACAAAACTTCCTCTGGATTTTCCACATCATCCCAATCGCATTTTAGGAAATCCGAATTTCCAGCACAAAGCCCGGCTGTGAGAGTGGGGGACATAGGGGGTGCGTAAGAATTACCTGTTGCAAGTATATAGTGTATTAATAATAAGAAAACTCTATGTTAGGTACCCAACACAAATAATTGAGTGTTAGGTAGCTAAATTCTTATGAAACAGGCAAAGTGGCAATATAGCCGTACTTTAATGATAATAAGCAGGTGACCATGGAAAGCTATAGATTTTACAGCTTTAATCATGACCATAAAGGAGTCAATGGAAAGGTTACCAATGCCTACCTTTGAAAGATGGCAGTTTCTCCATAACCTCTTTGGTCATCTGCAGCAAAATCGTTCCTAAGACGACAACAATAAAGCCGCATATTTCTGATATAATGGCAGCTCCATCTTGACCATCCCAATCCTGATATACATTCCACAACATAAGTTAACAACAAAGATTTTTAGACACTAGAGACCAACTACATCATTAACACGTAAAACCAGAAACATTAAAGCAAATTTGTAAAACTATGCTATTGTTGACTCAGAGGCATGCACAGTGCAAGTTCCTCAATCCTCTCATAGAAGTTAGAGGAGCCACAGCAAAGAACAATGTAACACACAGTCTGATAATTTGATAATTTGCATGCATTCAAATGTTCAATCATATGTATCAGGTCAGAACACTGCCTCTATTACAGTGTCTGGTTTTACTTCAAACCCAACATGAAACCAAGAATGATAACAAATGAACCAGTTTAATGCTTTGATACTAGTATCTTCAAAAATAAAAGTTCTGATCAGAATTAATTTTCCAATAACAGTTCAACTAACAAATGTCATCTACTACCTCCATTTCATATTATTTGCAACGATTAGACATTTTTTACCACACTTTATGTCAAATTGTTACAAATAATATGAAACGGATGTAGTAGTATGTTTGTTAACTCTAACTCTTCTCCACTGTTTCATAGTCACAGTGTCAAGATTGATAGTCTGCTTCATTTATTTCCGAAAAGAACAATTACATTGCATGATTGGCAGTTCAAAGACTGCTGTTACGAAGTACATCTTAATTCTTACCAGATAGCAGACGCACTTTACCTCTAAAAGAACATCATTTGAGGGATAAAAAAGGTTTTTATGAAGCAAGATGATCTGAAAGTACCTTGAACATTATCACGCTGGCAAGAATTGTAAGTGTTGTGAACATAACATAATATATTGGGGACACAACCACAGTGTTAAAAGTATCCAGAGCCTGAAAAAAAAAAAAAAAAAAAAAAAAATTAAAAACCATTTGTTACACAATTTTGCAAACAGATAATGAAATATTATTGGCTGACATTCATTTAATTAGACAGTAACACCAGATATTAAGGTTTATGAGATACCATTAACAAACAAAAATTCAAATATTCAAACGCCACACCTGGTTACGCAAACCAAGAAAATGTTAATGAGCTCTTTGTGTAAAAAACAAATAAATTAGAGAGCTGCTCAAGAATATACTAGTAAATGATATGTATGCAAAACATCAATCAGAGCCTGTAACAGTCTTAATTTAATATGATATTCTCATAGTGCCCTAGTTATACACTTCAGGCTTCAGCAGGACAAGAGACATGATTTTGCCATGATCCTTGAACAAAGAATAAAGATGATCATAAAGCATTCCTCGATAAAGGTTTATTTTTCTCATTATGTTTATTCATCTAAATCATTAAGTAAATATTTTTAAGAAGTGTGCACACATTCAGATCATGCTTTGCCTGGCTAATAGATTGCATATATAAGCTTCAATTATGTAAAATGAAGCAAGAATTTACATCTATACAGAGACATAAAAACTAGCTTTTTATACCAAAAATCAACTTCAGACTACAAACCTTATTCAGATAATTCATTTGAGTGATGACGCATGTTAGAAGAACCACAGTGAAGAACCATGTTTCTGGGTAGAGTAACTGGTTATTTCCCTCAAATGTCAATTTCAATGAAATTCCAAGGGCTTTGACACTCATAACCTACATAATCATTAAAGCATTAATGACAAAGAATTGAGATTTCTGAATCGTATCATGCACTCCAAGAAAAACCAAACAGTGAAAATATCACTAGAATAATATGAATACAAGTAATTTTTAGGTTAGTTACTCCTCATTTTAGGCAATAACTTGAGCAAACCAAAAGCGTGAGGGATTCCAGCTTATGGTCTGAGGCACTGAGCTGAACTATGAATTTGTTTTTATTTGGTGAAAAAAGTTAAACATGATTAGACTACCAGGGAAAAAATATTGAATCTGATAGCTGTTGGAAAGCAATTCAAAGCCAAGACAAATGTGTATAGAGCATTTTGTTGTTTTGCATTCCTCTAATTTCAAGATCAACTAATGACTTTGAACAAAATGATGTAGGATAGAGTTTTATACCGAGAGAGAACCCATCAAGGAACAAATTCCAGTGAAAACCAACACGTTTGAATGTCCACACAATGGTGCAAAGTAAAGCACCAGAATGGAGACTAACACGAGAACTGAGCCAACATAGAGAAGAAATGCTGGAATAGAAACACATTACAGTAATAAGGTTACGTGCTTTAATCTTGATATATAGTGTGTCCTGCTTACTAAATACGCGAAAGAAATTACCCATTTGAGTGGCCATGTTCCAAATTTCTTGTACAGATGTGACAGAATGTTCTTTGGGTGCATGAACCACTATGATCACAGAACCAACAATGCACATTACACAACCCAGGAACCCCAACTTGTTCAATCTCTCTTTCAACATAAAATGAGCCAGCACAGCACTGCATATCATCCATCATATTAATCAATAGCATAAATCATGTGATATGAAAGTTTATTCAACCGATTCACTCGAACCCAGAAAGAGTTTGGAAGAATTTAAAAGAAGAAATACTGAAAGGTTACAAGAAGTACCTGACAATAATGCTTAAGGCTCCTAGTGGGGTAACAAGAATAGCTGGAGCAAATGCATAAGCCACAAAATTTGCAACCTCACCAACAATCACTGTGCACAAAATAACACTCTTTAAGTATGTTTCAATCCAAACACGTATGAAAAAAAAAACTAAAATATTTTACTAGGTAATGTACATGTACAAATAATTAGGAACCCTTCTAGCTGCGCTTTGACCTAATTAGTCCTCCTCGATAATACTTCATAAAAAGACAACAAATATCAATTACACGTCCTACATTAGCTATCCAATATTAATAAATAAGACATACATGTATCAATTACATGTCCTGCATTAGCTATCCAATAAGGTCGCCCTATTGGTGGCCATAATACAAATTGTCCAAAACGGCAAAAACCCCATACATGTTGCAACAAAACAAATTGCCCATAACCCGGATTGAGAAATAACCAACAGATACAAAATTACAAGCATATAATTATATTATATGAACATCAAAATTCAAAATGACCCACAAACAATATAAGCTCTAAAAGACAATCAAAGACTTACTCATGAACAAACCAAGCCACCATAAGGGCTCAAACAGATATGTATATCCTCCATGGCCTGAAAAATAAAACCCATTTTAATTCTTTTTGAAAAAAAACCCTGATTAATTCATAAAATTAATAATAAATAAAATTGATGAAAAAAGATGAAAATTTATACCAGCTCGAACCCCAGAAGTTCCAGCTTTCCATAATCCTTTCTTTTTGATGATGAAACTAGCTCCAATGAAACCACTGGATGAAAGAGCTAATCCAAACCCAATTACATTATCTTTGGAAAAAGACATTATCAAAAAAAAATTGAATCGAAATCTCTCCTTTTTCTCTCTCCAAACAAAGTCTTACTCCTCTAATCATGGGATCGTCTAATTATATTAAGGAATCTAATATTATAAGACACCCACCAACTTGTTAATTTAATTTGTTTGGTTTATTGCTTCGTCTCGAACCAAAAAAACGCGGGTATTTGCCCAATTTTTTGTATTCAACTAGGTCAGTATGATATTCATGATAAATTGATAATCATGATGGCTTTAATGGGTGTAATAGATTAGTAAAATACTTCAAATTCAAATATTCATCCCCTTTCTTAACCTATTTTTGCACTCGATTTATTTTTCAAAAAAAAAATTAAATTAATGGTGACCCTCTTATCATAAAGCCATTGAAATGGTGATTCTTTTTATTTTATACGCAGTACTATACAAAATGACCTTATTTAAAAAATTTAACTTGTAGGATAGGGATCAAGGATGGGTATTTCGGGAATTTGGGTGGGGATAAAATTTTCAAATAAAGTTATTGTTCTCAATCTTATAAAAAGTATGAGAATGTTCTTATGAATAGTGTGAAGACAACTATATCCCTCAAAATGTTTGTTTACTAATTTGCCCCCAATTAAAAAAAAGTTAAGAAGATATTAGTACCTAACTAGATTAGTATATGTGGAATGGTAATAGTGTTTTTTTTCTTCTAATAGTATAAACTAGATGTAAGCCCGTGCGATGCACGGTTATTTATACATAAATCTTTAAGAAAAGATAATTTTCTTAGTTAAATCATATAATATTTTAATTAAAATACTATTGTCTATTATATTAGAAAAGATAATTATTATTATCTTTATGTAATAATGTGCCTTTATTGGTTGATATTATCTAAGGAATAATTTTATTAGTTAAACAATAATATATTTTAATAATATTATTGATGACTATTAGAAAAGATAATTTTTATTAATTTATGTAATTGAAGGGATTTAGTTATTTTTTGATTTTTTATAAGTTATAAAACTTGTGTGTTTCTATCCGATTTGTTACATTAGTTTATTAGTGATGCAACTTAATGCGATGTATGAATAATTAAGAGTAGTGTATTTTTCTATTTTTGGTGATACTCTAATTGATTTTAATGTAAAACAGTACCTCGGTTTTTTTAGTGCCACATGTTGAGATATCGGGGATAAGAGTGTGAACTATATATGAGGGTACTAATTCTCCTTTCATTCAAAAATATTTTACCTACAAAACAAAACACAAAAAAAATAAAAAAAAAAAAAAAAAAATAGTAATTTATGATTAAAGTTTAACTATATACAAAAATTAACACTTATATAAACAAATTTATTAAAAACCATGCAATTAACATTTAAATTTTATCTGCATGAGAAAGATTTAAAATAGAATAAACATAAAACATGTTCAAATTTTTTTATACAAAAATTATTAAATTGAAAATTGTGAAACAAATTAAAAAGGTTAAAAAAATTAACATTAAAATTTACACAAATTTATCAATAGCTATACAATAATCATTTACCCAATTTTATACAAAACCTATGATCATGGCTAGGGATGTCAGTGGGACTGGTTAAATAGGAGAACCACCTCATCCTCGCCCCGTTGGGAAGGGGATGGGTGTTGGTTTGGCGGGTGATGGGGCGGGGATGGGAATAAAAACCATACCCGCCATGGGTGAGGGGTGGGGGTGGATTTTAGGTTGTACCCGCCCCATTCCCACCCCACCCGCACCACTTTGTACCCGTCCCATTCCCACCCGCCTCACTTCGTACCCGTCCCATCCCCACATCCATATATTTTTTAAAAAAACAAAATTATATACTTTTATACTATTTTATAAAAAAAAATTATGTTCCCCTCAAAATAAAAAAAATAAAAATATGTAAAATAAAATAGTAAATATAATACTTTGTAATATACTTATATTATAAACAAAAAATCTGTAATATTAACAATATATATTTTTTTTTTCAATCTTTATTAATTATGAAAGATTGTGTATTTGGGAGGCGGGTCTTAGGTGGGGATTAGGTGAGGGTGGATATCCAAGTGGGGGGTGGGCGGGGATGGTTTTGGAGTTGTATCCGTCGGGGGCGGGGATGGGGATGAACTTTAGACCCGCCGCGAGGATAGAGATGGTATGAAAATTTTAGGTGGGGATGGGGATAGGAAGGCCAACATCCGCCCCGCCCCGCCCCATTGACATCCCTAATCATGGCGTTCCAAGACACCCTAGTCTTATTTTCTAAGCTTTCAAATAATTCCACTGTCTTATCAACCTTTAATGAATACATGGAAATCAAGGTGGAATTCGATAGACACATTAGAGCCAAATCCTAATTGGTCCGACATTTTACCATACCTTTCTCTATATACAAAGTATTCTCATTAATTTTGGTTATTGACTGGGTTCTTATATATAGTTTCTTTTGTTATAAAAGTTGTTGGCAATTGGGATAATAATTTCATAAAATTGTATGTTTTTTATGTGGGTATGTGGGATTATCATTAGATGGTTATATAGGGATTGAAAAAATGATAAATATTAAGTCGTTATAAATTTTTATCATTGAATATGATAAAGTTTGTTCTTGATTAGCGAATATTTTTATTTTTGCAAGATAAAAAAAAGAGAATATTTTTTTTTAATCTATGTGCATTTATATATCTCTAATCTCATTCGTTCATTTTGCTTATGTGGTGATTGATTTTTTTAATTTTTTAAAATAAAATATAAATCTCATTTTTCATTGGTTAAATTAATGCTTTTGCTTATGTGACGCGCCGAATGCTCCTGAAAAATACCTACTTTATATATATATATATATATATATATATATATTAGATTTGTACTAATAAATACTTCGTACTATTTACATTATTAAATTATTTAGATGTTACGAATACTCGTAGTTTTGTAGTTGCTTAATTTATATATATATAAGATATTAGATTTGTACTAATAAATACTTCGTATTATTTACATTATTAAATTATTTAGATGTTACGAATACTCGTAGTTTTGTAGTTGCTTAATTAGTCAGAGTATATTTCCTACCGTGGAATGGTAATAGTTTTGTTTTGTTAGTAGCATAGTTAGAGTATATATCCTACCGTGGAATGGTAATTGTTCGTTTTTCTTTCTTCCAATATTAATTTCTACTAATAAATAATATTTACATTATTGAATTATTTAGATGTTGCAGAATACTTGTAGTTTTGTAGTAGCTTAGTTAAAGTAATTTTCCTAGCTTTTAAAAATTAGAGATAAAATTAGAGATTTTTTTCAAAATTGTTATATACTTTGAGTAATGTGTAAACCTTAATCATGAACAAAAAGTCATTTTTGCAAATAATTACAACAAAATACCATATACATAGTCATAAAGCATTTGTAACAGGCATACAGCTGCAATTATTCTTCTCAAAGGGCTAATCATATCGCGCGCATTAGACCCCCTAGTAGTATTAAGATTTTAGACTCTTTCAAGTTTGTTTTAACATTTACACAAATTAGTTTAAGGAGGGTGATGGGGTGGGGCGGGGCAGGGATGGGGCGGGTTTACTCTAAAATCTATACCCACCCCACCACCCGTGATGGGCAAACTTTTTATACCCATCCCCGCCTCATCACCGACCAAACGTCCCTTCGTCTCCGCCCCACTTAAGTGGGGTTGGGACGGGTCTCCCATTTGACCTGATCCAGTGTCATTCTTATCGGTAATGTAGAGCCTATTAGATTCTGACTAATCTGAAATCAAGCTTAGACAAACTCCATTTAGGAAAAAAAAAACTTTTTCAACAAGTGTCATTGCGTTCCCAAAACTCAAATTTGACACCTTGATTAAACAAAAACAATTCACTAAAACTTAATGATTTAAGCCATTATTGATAATTTGATATGCATTTCTTTACTTGCCAATGTTGCCATACAAAAAAGAAAGAAAAAGCTTTTTCTAAAAAGGCATAAAACTATAACAAAGTAAAAGAAAAAAAAAATAAAATTTGCACTTAAGAAATAGAGTAGCTACACTTTTCCCATCCTCAAAAAATACTCCAAAATAAAACATTAACTCCGTACTCTATTTTTGTTCCACTTCCACTGAACTCTCCTACGCCGTCTTCTCTTTTCCGGCCGCCGTATTCTGCTACTCTCCGCCGTCATAAGCACCGTTGAAAAGTTACCCTATCTCAAGGTATTTCTGTCTCCTCAATCTCTTTTCATTTGCAATTAATTCAGTATTTAAGGTTTTTTATGTTACCTCAATTTAATATTCACCGTTTTTTTGGTTATTTCTGTTATAAACCGAACTGCTGTAAACAATAAAAACAGAACAAAGTTACCGGGAATTAGACTGAGTCGCGGACTATGTCGCTCTCTTTAGAACATTCACGGTACTGCCCTTTAATTTGTGCAAGCAGCTCGTACAACAACCGGATGTTCCCCAGGATAAAACAGTCTGTCTAAGCAAGGAAAATACCAGTGGATTTGCACAGAACCAGTGGACAACTAACCACCAAAAAATATAAAGAACACTGCTCGAATATTTTGTAAGAGAAAAAAGGGATTAGAAAAATTCTGTGATTTTTTGTTCTTTCAAAACAGTGAACATAACATGATGTTTTATAGGCAAAACAATGGTATAACGGTAGCAAAAACCGTTCCAACACCAGCGTGATTAACGCCAAAAACGGTCAATTGAAACGTTAATTTACCCAGTCAAAACAGCTAGTAAAACGGCCAAAGTTTAATTAATCTGGAAATAAACGTTAGAGAGATAACCAGTCAAAACCGTTTAGCAAAAAACAAGGCACTAATTACGTAATTAAACCTTGTTCAAAAACTGAGCAAAAATTAAGTTTAATTAATAAACCCGACTCGACCCAACCCAGCCCAGCCCGGCTCGGCTCGGTTCGGCGCGCGTGTGTGATAAGTGGGCTTGGTAGGTAAGTCCTCCCTCTCCACAAAATGTGGGTAGCCCAAGGGCCACACCCAAATACTCCACATTCTCCAATATAAGGGAGGACAAACTTCTATTTCCCACCAATGTGGGACTTTTTGTTTTCCACAAAATTTACACCAAAACACACTTGTTCCAACAATTTCGATCTCGATTTTAGGGTTTTTTTTTTTTATTTGGGTGAAATCAGTCAATCAATTTATGTAAATGTTGTTTATTTTTTTTGCATCATGAAGAAGAAGAAAGAGATATAAACTTGATTTTTTTTACTCGGAAGATTGGGGTAATTCGTTGTTTTGATGATTAGGTTATTTTGAACAATTAGTGGTACAATGAAATTCATGTAACACTAGAAAAAAGTTTGTCTAAACTTGAATTCAAACTGGGTATGTGTGTAAATAGGCTTTTCTTAATGCAGAAAATTTCTAAAATTGCGTTGAGTTTCAATCATTGAGAGTAAAATGTTGGAATCTGTTGATGACAGAATAAAGGGTTTGAAATGAAATTAAGAGTTAATAGAAATGACCCGCCTAAGGCTTCCAAATCTTAGAGGAGAAATAAAAGATTTTAGAAGCGTTGCATATGAAATTTTAGAAGGTATGGAGCTATTATTTGTCTGTCTACTTCACTAGTTGTATAATAAAACCTAAAGATGGTCACCATTTCAATATCCCAAAAATAGAGGGTCACCATTGAGAATTACCCTTAAAGTTATTTTATTTTTCAAAAAACACATTACACGATAAAGAGCATAATAAGTATACTTTTATATACATTTTACGAAATTTGGCTCAAGTGCATAGGTTAGTCACATGGGACCTCGAGCATTGTCTGTGTTAAAACCTTTACTTGAAAATCATGACTTGTAAATGTGAGCTCCCAGATTCGCGGGTCTAGCACAAAACATACTTTGCAACAGGCTAACACAATAAACATTTGTATGAACTCGTTCATGAAAAATGAGAATGTCTCCAAAAGTCTTAACTTAACATGGGTTAGGGAGGTGATGCGCAAAACAGAATTAACCCAACACAGCACCAAAGGCAAGTTGGTGGCCTAGGAGTCATGCATGAACATCATTTCCAAAATTTAGCACGATCTTTACTCGAGCACTATATGACGACTAACATGTTAATCCGTTTATTATTTACCTGACAAGTGATCCAATTTTCATGCATAAGTCATGTATTATGTATTTATGTATATGAAATTACTTTATACGAGTACTAAAAGTGTAGCACGAGCTTGACACAACATGACTTTTTTTAACTTGACCAAAACTTTTAAGGCGCATCTCCCTTGAGCAGCCCAACCCGTGCCCAATTTTAGTATCTCCCTTGAACTGAAAGCATCACTTGCTGCCCCGCCACCACTTAGACCGCCGCCCAGCCGTAGCGCCGCCGTAAGTAAGGTAGATTTCTCTATTTGCTATCATATTATTTGTCTAATTAGTACGTAATTTATTGCAAATATTTTTATTAAATTGAATTTCAATTTGTTAGATTAAACTACTTATACTACATTATAATTGTTTATCAGTAATGACTTTTTTTTTTATTTATTTGAAATTACATTGAAGCTTTTCACATACAATTCCTCCATTAAAGCATCTTCTGAGCTTTCTTTACTCCAGTAAGATGTTTTTCCTTAATCATTGAATATCATTTTCACAATCTAGTGTTAATTGTTGATTTAATTCAATTTAGGGTTCTTATAAAATGAATTGATTATTGAATTATATTTTGGTGTTTATTAATTGCTGAAATGCTAGAGTTTTGCTACTGATATTCTTATAAGTGAGAAGAATTTAATTTGAGAATTGTGTCAAATTTGGTTTGCTAATGTGGTGCAAAACCCTTAAATTATGTGAGAATTAGTGGAATTTGTTAGATTAAAGCTCGTATTTTTATACTAAATTAGCAGTATTTTTTTTTTTTTCTTGATGACATATAGATGGCATTTAGAGGTAGAGGACGTGGGAGAGGATTTGGTGGAAGTGACTTCAAGTTTGTGAAGCCAGAATCTTTTGTACTTTTTCCGGTGAGTATATAATTTGACCCAATTTTATCATTTTTCATTGTTTTGAATCTTTTGATCTTGGATGCCAAAATTTGCTCTTAACAACTGTTGTAATGCAACTTTGCCAGCTTTTTTCTTTGACGAAAGAACCTGATTATTTAGTTTATGTTAGCGGAACCCAATTCATTTAAGGACTACGGCTTTGTTGTTGTTGTTGTAGGAGAAACCAAATAATTTTATGAATTTGATCACTTGAAACCTTCATAATTGCCCTGTTCCCATCTAGTCTCACTAGAGGTAAGACTCACATACGTGGCTGTTGCCTGGATCATTACTGGAAAAAATGCAGACCATAATTTTGTTTTCCTTTTTAGAAGAGAGGGTAGAGGAAATGTCTTTCAAGTTGGACTTGTTGAAGATGTTATTGACTTATAGTTGGTCGTATATATTTTGTAAGGATATTATCAACATACAGGAATATATGCTAAGTTGAACCTTGGAAGTTAGTAATCTCTTGTGTTGGACAATCTGTTGGTAAACATCAGGCCGTTTGTCTTGTATAGTCTTCAATCGGATCTATTATTTGTGGAAATGGTAAAGTGCACTTGCTCAAGCTCATCAAATTTAGGCTAAGATAATATCTTTTAACTGGTGGTAGTGTAGTGATTTTGGTTAGGTTTATTATGTGTACCGCTACATTCTTAATTAGGGGAACTTTCACTCTTAATTATTGTTTGACACTCGTTCCTGTGATTTATTTCTAACATTTATATCACTCCCTAAAATCCTTGATTTCTGTCCTCAGTCCTCACCTTCATATTTGATCATTGCTGTATTAATTTGTTTAATGCTATACATTTTTTTTTTTTTAATTTGCCACAGGATATTGAGTTGCCTGACAGAAACAATGTTCCTGAAGAGAAGGATTTAGCATTACGTAATTTTAAGTTTCGGAACTACTTTCAAAGCTCACCGTACCACCTTGAGGAAACATTCTCTGGTGGTAAGCAATCTGGCTGCATTTTTTTTAATGGTGTGCTTGTGTTTCATAGTCAGAAAGTCAACTGTCAAGGAGAATGAAGTTTGTGATAGTGTGTATCTATACAGTTTGGTTTTGTTATTTTATACTGTATGTAAACTTATTGAAGATCACTAAGCTCAATGGTAACGTGGATGTACTTGAGCTATGTCTGTTCAGGATGCTTTTTGCACTACCTGTGTTGTCGGTTATGTGCTCTTGTCTCTTTACTCTGTTTGACATTGCCCCTCCCGACTTCCCGAGTGTTCCAACACAAACCAGTAAATTCTGGTGAACTTATCTTGTAAATTCCATTGGTATTGAATTTGGTATTTAAGCATAGGTGTAGAATTAAGTTTTCTCTTTATTACTGAACTCAACTTCTCTCAGTGATTGGAAAGTAGATATTTCTTTTCTGAAAAGTAACATTTAACATAAATACTCTTTGCAGTTAAACATAATTATTGAGATTTACATGCTACTATTTTAACTATCCTTATTTTTGTTGATTGTCATCTTGGCAGAAGAAGCTGTAGACATTGAGAGATATTCTGATAAGGTCAACAAAAAAAGTAGATTTGGTCGGTGCTCACTTTCTGATTCTGGTTATTTGAAACTTGAACCTGGATATTTTCCGCTAGAGCTTGTTCGAGGTTAGTTTAAACTTGTGAGAAGCTTTTGTTGAAAAGACAAATAATTTATGGTGCCCATTGCTCTTTTCTTAATTTCTTATTGATCCCCCTAAAGGTGGTTTGACAATAGAGTATCATTTCAGGCACAAAATTCAAGACTAGGAGGAAGGTTCATTGGAATCCAAAACGAGGTATATTTAATCAGGATAGTTCTGCAGCTTCTGCTAGCTTACTCTTTACTTGTTCATGTTGTAACTGGCGTGTGATTAGATTTTAAGACTTTTTTGGTCTTTTAGGCTAATTCACTGCTCATTAGCCACTTGGCTAGCCCTGAGCTTCATGCCCTATGTTGTTTTAAGGACTATTGTCCTCTGTGATGTTATGTTCCATGAATTGACAGAGATAAACAACAAAGCAATTTTTTTTGGCTGTCTCGCCAGTTAATGTGACAGAACATTTTGCATATGGACTTGCATTTATCTCTTTCACTAGTCCTTATCATTAGATGTATAATCATTTCTAACTCTGATCTTTCTATGGTAGACCTTCAGAAGCTGGATGTACTGGAGGAACTTGAGAAGAAATTTGAAGTAAGTTGCTCTAAAGACCTACTACTTTGTCTGCATGTCCTTTGAAAAGCTGAAGATGGGTCATCCTTCAGATTTTTTATTGAGGATGTAGAGTTGCAGAAGATAAAATATGTTCACTGTTTTTTATGTTCTGTTTGAATCCCCTTCTTCTGTAGTAATACTTGATGACTATATGATTCCTTTCAATTTGATGACTATAGAATGAAGACTCAAAAGGCAAGAAAGAGAAAGACAAAGAAGGTGACGAGGATGAGGAAGAAGAGGAGAATTTAGAGGAAGAAGAAGACGATGTTGAGTCTGATGATGATTACGGAAAGGTTCAATTCTCTATCTATACCTTGTTTATTCACTAATTGATGTTTTGATTTAAAGAAAAAAAGATTTAAAAAATAAGGCTTTTCATTTGACAAATAATGCATCTTTCTTGCTATTTGGGAGCAAATTATGTGTTAAAGATCTCCAGAAAACTTAATATGTCTGTTTTCCCCCCTCCTATCGTGACCATTACTTGGATTGAGATGGATGCAAGAGTCAAAATAACATGGCCCGCAGTTATGAGTTTAAAAAGTTGACACTGTGGTTTCTTAGATCTCTGTTAAGTATTTTTTTTTTTATATTAATATAATACTTGCAACAGTTGCAAGTGACGAGTATGATTGTCCAATTGCCTATCCATTTGTTCGATATGAGTAAGCCTTGTTTTGGCTTAGAGCATCTCCAATGGTGTTTTTTAAGGACCTGCTTGCAAATCTGAAAAATATTAAAAGTGTTGCTTGACCATTGGAGGACTATTGAAATACCTGCTCTCTGCCTAGTACTGCTGAGTTAAGCTACACTGCTTGGAAATTTTAAGCAATTATAAATTAATCTAAAAACTTGGAGAGTGGGGGACACGGTTGGTTTTCCATGAAACGTGATATGCAATTGCTATAAAAGATAATGCAACATCATTTTTTATCTTTTTCTAAATAAAATAAATTTTAAAATATTATTTTCATCATTATCAACTGACATATAGGTAGGAGATGTTGACTAATCTTAATCCTAGCATAGGTAGACTTTTTTTTTTTTTTTAATTGACTAACATTTACTCGTATAGTTTACAAGATATGCAATATCATTGTTGAGTACTGAACTTAATCCTAGAGCATATGGGTATTGTTAATTAGTTTTATTTAGTGTATTGTCAAATGTTGATTACAAAATATGTAAATAAATTTAGGGAGAAAGGTTATCAATACTCTTGATGAAAATATTTAATACTTCGTATAAGCTCAAATAATCAAATCGCAAGCAAGTCATTTCATATATAGTACGAGTACAATACAACTTATATGAAATTATATTATTGGAGTAAATTTAATATTGAAAGTGTAGTAAATAAAGTATTACATGCAAGCTATAAAATTTTATAGCCAACCATTGGAGTACTTTGTAGCTTGAAATATTGATGTGGCAAATCAAGCTACAACTTCTTGTAGCTTACCATTGGAGTACTTTGTAGCTTAAATAGGTTGTAGCTTTAAAAGTTGACGTGGCAAAGCAAGCTACAAGCCTTTGTAGCTTACCATTGGAGATGCTCTTATGCTTTCATCTGCTTAGACATTTGAACTATTTGGTTGAGTTGTAAGTTAATAAATTCATAACACAGAACAAATTTTGGAGTTTGGTGTCTTTGTTTTACCCTTGTGATGACTTCTTCTAGTGTCAAAACTGCTGCTTTGAAAGGTTTATTTTCTGTTGTTTTGGGCCTTTTGGGGATGAATTTACTTCTATAGTCACCTTTGGAAATCTGTCACTCTAAGATTTTAATCTGCAGTATTATAGTGATAGTTTCATGATGCATGTCATTTATGGTAGTGACATCTCCTTCTCAATAATAGGGTGCTAGCTTATTATAGGAAACAAATGTATTGTGTGTCTATGTGCTTCATCTACCACTATTTCATGTACAAATAACATTCACATTGCAATATCAGTACCATCCGTTGCTGTCCTCCACTCCCATCCTACCTCAGACACTCCAAAAACAAAAACAAAAACAAAAATCTCACATTCCATCTAAAACTAGCTGAATGTATTTGAAACTGCCGCCCATTGTCCCAAAACAATTGGTGTAATATGATCAACTGGTTATAGACTCGTAGATTGAACTATTGAAGATCTTTTTTGAGTGCAGGTGTGTTTTTTTCCTGAAAACCCCTTGGCTATTGCAACCCATATTTAGAATATTGCAAAACTGGTTAAGAGGTTTTGTCATTGTCAAATCTCATGCTGAGAATTTTTTTAGTTTTATATCCACCAGTTAGCTCCATAAATCATTCGTGAAACCTATTAGGGCAATGTGGGTTTAACTGCATTGTTCTTGCTCTGGGTTGGGAGTTGGGACAGAGGGGGCAATGTTTGAGTTGATTTTTATTTTGATTTTCTTGAATTCAATTTGAATCAACCAATAGTATATTTTTACACTATAACTCAATGCCTATCGGAATATTCCCCAGTTATGTGATCAGGGGTCAAATATAGACAACATTTGTAGTTTTGTACTTTATTACTGATAATTTATTGTTTTGTATTGGCTCTGATGGATATGTAATTGTACAGTATGTTAACTAGAATTAATTGTGTACCTGAAATGTTATTATTATTTTTTTTCAAATCTATTACTGAAATAATTAACTTTTTTCTTTTTGGCATATCTATAAAATACTTCTCTATTTTAAATTTTAGAGTTCAAAGAGTGAGAGGGAGAGTGGTAACTGGCTATTAGGCTAAATCTGATGGCTCGCCTAATATAATGAGTTATTATGGCATTGTAGGCTTAATGCTTTTTTTTTTTTTTTTTTTATTTTTTTATTTCTTCAGATTTCTATTAAATAACTACTGCTTTGTGCAAAAGCATGTTAAATGAGCTGATTCACAATCTTGGGTGAACATCCTGGTTAGTTTTATTTCTGACTAAGATAAAATTTGCAGGGTGAAAATTTTGATGATGATGAAGATGATTACAACATGAGTGATGGTGGTGATGGTAAGGAAATTACTGTGCTAATATTTGTTAAGTAATGTACTGATATAAACTCTATTAGAATCTTTGAAGGTGCTATTGAGTATTGACCATGTATTTATATTGTAGATGAAGCTGCCATGTAGTAATTGGCTGGTGCATGCGGAGTGATCTCTCTGAATATTGGAGGCACTACTGATTTCATGTTGCATCAAGCAGACAGGTTCAGATTTAATCTTTCAGATACATCTTGTAGAGAGTAATTTTTCCATAGTTTTTCTTAATTTTACTTTGTAAATGGAGATTTTGCCTGGTATTACTATTTACTGTATAGGTTTTGAAGAGATCCTTCTAAGTTAGGTAAGGTTAAATTAGTCTTGGTAAACAAATTTGTAGGCCTTTTTTGATGATGAAGATATAAAATGATCAATGTTTCAGCACAATTGCACAAAGTAACGTCTCAATAGAGCTCTCCTCCCTGTCTCCCCCTCTCTTTCTCTGACTCTCTTTTGAGATGATCACGGTTGAATGTCATCGTACCATTTTCTGCTTTAATAATTTCTGCTGGCAAGGATAGTCACATCTGACCAAGCAATTTGTAAGCTGTAAGCAAATGGTGTCAGTTTTGGCTACAGCAGTTGTTATCATGTTATGGAAATACCATCAGCAAAGTGGAGGAGATTTTGTGCCCCCCCACTCCTAAATTTACTTGTTATAGTATGCCTTGTCAACTTCTTCTTACTATTCTTTTTCAACGTCGTCTATGTCAGATGTCACATTAAGCATTACGCGTGTGGTGCAGATATCTGCAAGGTTTTAATCTTCCTAGACTGGCATTCATCTCCCTATGGAGTTCACTAGGCAACTTCTAGAACATCTCGTATGAATAGGTAAAAGTGGCTGGTTGATAGGCTGTTTCCGAGTAATCAAAATCATGTTAATCCCAACCACCACATACCCTTCATTTCTACTAGTCATTCAGAGTATAATTACAAGAACAATATACGTAGTAAATTACTGCCTAAACATCAGATTGGATTGTTTTGTTGATCCGATGATCAAGTCTCTGAGTTCCTAGGTAGTAAGGCTTATGTAAAGCCATAGCTATAGTGGTTGTGCCCAAATCTAGCAAAACAGTTCTCTAGAGTGTTTAGTTACGGGCTTACGACTCTTATATCACCCTCTTAACCTCTTTGTTTGATACTTCGGTATCCTTTAGAGTTCGGATAAAGTAGTCACATTGTTCCAACACCTAAAATTAAAGACTCATATAGAATTAGAGAACTAACTTGGAATTAATCTCATATATGTATCATGTATACACAAACTACAAAATTAAAAACAAAATATTAGCAACAAAATGGAAATCAAACCAAAAAAAAAAACTCAAAAGGAATTCATTTCTAATCTATACATTCTCCTTTCTTTCCCCTTCAACAATTTTATTGCAGCTTCTTCAAAAACATCTTCACCTTGAAAAGCTTTCAACATGTTCACTCCATCATTTTTCTTTTCCTTTTCTTTTTCTTTCTCTTCACCATTATTTCCTTTCTTTTCAGGCTTAATCACAACTAGTGTTGCTCCTTTCATAACTTTCCCTGAGTTGGGCAATTCCAATTCCTTCACATACCACATTTTCATCACCAAATTCCCTGCATAAGCCATTGCTGTTGTTGATTCACCTGAGGTTTCGGGTTCCGGTTCCAATTCCGGTGCCGGGTTTTCACTTTTGCTAGCATTGACTGTTGCAATCTCGATTGAGTCCTTCAGATCTTGAATCTGCTTTGCATTCATACAGAGCTTCCCCTGTTTCCCAGCATCCGAAACTACCGCGTTACTTAACTTTGGACATTGATTCACCATTTTCTTCACCAAATTATGCCTAGCTGATGATGCAATCAAACAAGAAATGATCCAAATAATCCTCAATTTCAGCTCTTCATCTGAAAAAACCTGCACCTCATTTTCACCCTCAATTTCTGGCCCCTTTTTCTCTCTCCTCTCAACAATCGAAGTTGCCCCTAAAATTGCGCACATCTCCATCTCTTTCCCAAACTCAGCTTCCCATTTTAACAATGGAATGTTCTTGTTGATCCCGATTTCGCCGCCATGGCAGGGGAGCTCGAGCTTAATCGACTCAATATCCTGGAAATTCTTCAAAGTATTTCCAACCCATTTCATAATATCAACCCCACCTCCGTTTTTAGCCATCTTCTTGCTTGAAATCGCCTGTTGCAGCAGATTAATCGGCTTACAGATGAACTTAAAGATAGAATTCTTGAAGAAACTCTTCGACCCAGTTGATAATTTCGCAGATTCTTCACTGGGTTTCTTCGATTTCGGGTGATTATTACTCCCATTACTATGATTATTATTCATTTGGATTGAAATTGAATCAACCTCAGAAACAATCGTCGCAAATCTCTTAGAAACGAGAAGACAACGACATAATGATTTCGCATCAAAAATCTTATTGAAGATCAAATTAAGAATTGGGTCTGGAATCAGATCAAAATAATCAACTCCCTCCATAATTTGATCTTCTGGTCGATTGTATAACAAATCTGCCATTAAATTGAAGTTGAAGATTGAATAAACTTTTTGGGTTTGTGAAATTTGTTTGTTGTTATAATGTAGGAGAGAGAAAATATGATTGAAGTGGGAATACAAATGGCGGTTTTATGGTGGGTATGAGCGTGGTTTTTGTAGGAGAGTTTTTTGTCGTGATTATTAGCTACGCGGTTTGACGCATATTTAGCCACGTTGAAAAATATCTGGGTTGGTCCACTTTTATGTCATCTTCATCTATATGGTTAATTTCTTCATTAATTGAGTACACACTTGCATATCATCAATATAATATCCGTATTGTATCGTGTATATGGTACACTCGAGTGGTGACGGGGTATACGTATATTTAAGGCACCACATGCCGTATACCGATATGCATCAGTGTTTGTGTGACATGTGTTACATGCATGACATGTTTGTATCATGTTTGCCGCTCAATAATAGTGCTTGGGCCTAATGGTGTTAAGGATTATGTTTTTTAGTTCACCTAGGTGGCTAGGTGTATGATCGAAATTGTGATTTACGTAACTACGTGTATTCCGTGGAAAAGAATTTTAATGATTGTTTTTAAATGACATTGATGTAAGTGTGACTAACGAGTAGATTTTGCTGATCAGACCTCAACTCGTACGGTTTGCTGGATCACTAAATGACGATGATGTGGTTACGAAAATACGAGATACATACTTTAGTGATCAGTGAGTACGTATATGAGTAATTTGACAATATCAAAGTATTTTACTCGGCTTATGGTGGATAAAAGACGTGGCGGCTGGTCCTATTGATAAAGAATCTAATTCTTTGGACATTGGATAAGGACACTCTAAATCAAAAGGACAATATTATCAATGCATTCACATTATAATTAATATGAAAAGTTAGGAATATTACTTTTTGTTTAATGGTGCTAACTACTTTTTTTTTCCCCTTTTTTTTTAATAAAGAAAGAATATAGATTACCCATATTGGACGGGTTAGGTTACATATTCACTAGAATGTTATTATTCTCTCAACTTTATGAAAGAAGATTACGCACAATAATCCAATATTTTCACTATTTTACAATAATAATCCATATATCCACTTATCGTAATCTATATTATTATAATAAAAAATATTTTTAAAAAAAAAAACACCATTAAAAAATTGATAGTGCATCTAACCTTTTTGAAGAAAGAATTATTTTGGCAATAATAACTAACAAAAAGAAATGTTAGGTCCCATCAAAATAAATATCTAAATAAATGTTGAGTGCATCATTTTTATTTTTAATTTTAGGGGAAAATTTATCAATTATTTGATTTTTCTTTTTAAAAGGGTGCATTATCGTCTTAAACATTAAAGTATTGGATTATTCTTAGTACCTTGTATGGAATTATCATTATTGGATTGTAAAAAGGTCGGAAATTGGGTTTGCGATTTCCTTACTTTATTCGCTAATAAGTCAGATGTAGATAGTGATAGAGTGTGTGGTTTTAGATATTATTTTATAGGTTGTGTGGTGTGAGATATTACAAACTCTTAAATGAATCCGGTTTACACTAATTTATTGTGGACCACTGAGATTAAGGTCTTGTTTAGTACGGTTTTTTTGTAGGTCATGTTGTTCGGAATATTAAAGCTTTATTTTGTCCAAACAAATTCAGGTAAGATAAAGTCATGAAAAAATAAGTTCGGATAATGGTTAATGAATTCAAATAAGACAAAATTAATTCTGATAAATAAGGTAAATTAAACACATCTCACATGTACAAGCCAATATCCTTTCATAAAAACTTTATTCTTTTATCAATAAAATACTGTTTTTTTTAGCACAAATTAAGGTCCCAATTAAATAGATGATAAATAAAAACCGCTCAAGCTCGTATAATATAAATATTAAAAATTAGGCATATATATTAAAAAAAAATAAAAAAAAATTGATTTTATATACATGTAAATGGTCAACCCCAAACTTGCAATTTCCTCTCTATTGTGAGCTAACTTAGACTTGAACCAATCTCATAATATATTAATCAATAATTGAAAAGCAAAAGGAAGTAGTACTACTTCGTTTTTTTTTTTTTTTTTTTTTTGAATCTTGAAAATTTTAGAAGTTTCTTGTGGCTTTCACTACCCGCAAGTATATATATTAGCTGTTGATGTTGACGAATTATTACCAACTTGTTAGGAACAGTCTAATTTGACTTTTAATTAATTATTGACTTTTAACTAATAATTAATTAGTGTTTTAAATTATAGAATGAAGGGGAAGCTACGTTTCATGCACCCAATTGTCTTAATAATTGTACTCTTTCTTATTAAGTAACCGCCTTAGTTTTTCCAGCATGTAAGACAACTACTTTTATATACTTTATTAATACGAGTAGTAATAATTTAGTATTAGTTGATCTATATAATGTATATGCATAATTATTACTAAGTAATGTCATTTTTTTAAATATCTTATTTACCCATCCTTTTTAATATAATGATGAGATTGAGTATGGAGTATATGTAATTCAATTATATTCACTTATTAGTGGAAATATAGAAGTCAAATTTAGTACCATATAGAATGAAATACTATGAATTTGTTTTCTTTGGAAAAGTTGACTTTAACATTAGCAACCCAATTGTTTGTGCGATCATTTTGATTCTTTTTTAAATTATTGGGGGGTGGGGAGCTAGGCAACGCAAGTGGGCAGTGTCAAGTAGATAATTTCCCAAGCTAGGTCATGTGCCTATGCTATCCACTCATAACATTGGAAAAAATCCTCTCACAATCTCGAGAAAAGAAGAGTATGTAAAGGGGGGGGGGTTTTTCTAAGCTATGTCCCTTAGTTAGTCGAGTTTTTAAGGTATACTCATGCTTTTTCAAATTTTTAAATTGTGCCCCTCAACTCACTACCATTAATGAATGGTACCCTCCTTGGGACTTCTACGTCACCTAAAGTTAACTATAAATTTAATAAAAAAGATGATAAAAGGTAAGGAAATGATAGGAGAAAGAAATCTTAGTCACCGCAACCCTAATAACGAAAACTGAAGCCACGAAACCACACTCTCAATTAACTTTTAAACAACTAATACGGGTACATTTTAATATTAATAAGCAGTTGAAGGGCACTGCTTAGAAACTTGAAAAAGCATGGGTACACCTTAGAAACTCGACAACTTTAGGGGTATAGCTTAGAAAAACCAAAAAAAAATTAAATTGTTTGATTGGTTAATAAGTAATTATTTGCGTTATTATACACAGATACGCAATGATTGCATTGGATATTTTGGTCAGGAACAAGGAGAGCCTATTGTTAACCGTGCTCCTTGACAAATTGACGATGGGTAAACACCGTTGCAATTATGGAAATTGATTTGTTGATTTTAAGATTATATGTAACAAATGGAGTACATCAAATCAAGCTTGTCTTTAATGCCAAAATTTCCAATTAAACTTCAGATACTATTTTCTCCATTTCGATTTTGATTCATTTTGATGCCATGATATGCCAATTGTCAATATGCAAGTAACAAGTTTTATCATTCATTAATAAAGACCAATTAGAGCAATTTTAATGGTAAGCTAATTAGCAATTAGCTTGTTATACCACATGAGATTTTAAGCTAATGCATTTTGTAGCTAATTTGTGCCTCAATGGTTTAGTTACTAGTTTGTGATTTAAATGACCCTTAATTTCTTAATTAGCTTTTAAAATTAAAATTTATAAATATATCAACCCCTCTTTTCGGCAAGTTTCCAAGCTAATTTCATTTTTTAGCTCAAATGGTCAAGCCAGTAGTTAGAGAATTTACTAAATTGCAAGCAATTCCCTAACTACAAACATTGGAGATGTTTTTACATGTGCTTAGAAGATAAGAGAATTTTAAAAAGGGATGGAAGAGGTTGTGGTCTTGTATTGCGGACTTATGATGGCACAAAGTTGTGGGCTTATAGACCAATGATGGCACAAATGTATTGCGGGCTTGTTAATATCAGTGCCCATTTTTCAAATTTATTTATTTTAATTAAAAAACCAACCAATTAAATAACAACATGTGTCACACTTAATATGCTAACCAGGTAACCAACGGTCACAACATATTTAAAGCAGTGTCTGTTTTCCATTTAGGTGACTAAAAATGTTGTGTATGTTTCTAAAAATATCACATACTAGTTATTTTATCAATATTTACACAACTTTTTTTATGTATCCCACATACTTCCTCTATTCTTTTAGTTGACACCATTTGACTAACACTATTCATAAACTACACTTTGACTAACTTTTGTGATTTATAACTACATTAAAAATTAGTCAAGTGAGATCTTATTTGAATCGTCTTAATGTATATTTTATTCACTTTTTATAATTTTACAATATCGAAAATTAGAGATATTAATCGCCAAAATAATGCGTTGGCAAGCGTAATAAAAGAAATATTTCAACTAAATAAAAAAGGAGGTAGTAAACACGAAAAAAAATAAAATAAAAAGGAGATAGTAAAATTTTCTTACACGAGTATAGATCATTAACAAAGATCAAAGTAATGGAGTAGGTTGGTTAAAGGTTTGGAGTGATACTATAGGTGATAAAAAATCGGGCCGGGTCGAGCCTTAACGTCATATTTTATGTCGAAATCCGCAAAAAGTAGTAGATTTATCAGACAAAGCGGGCTTTTCGAACTTTTTTCAGGCCAGATCAAGTATTTAACTGAAAATGCGCTTTTAGGCTTATCCAAACCCGCCTTATTTTTGGGTCGGCTTAAGCCGGGCTAGCGGGCCGAGCCAAGGTCACTTCTAAGACGTACTCCTTAATTGAAAAAAGTTGTTTCAAAAATAAAAAAAAATTGAAAAAGGTTTATGCATCGAAACGACGTCGTATATCGTTTAGGGACATGGAATTCAAAAAAAACAAGCCCAAAATTCATTTCCAAATTCATATCGTCTCAAACAAGCTTTCACCTTCCCTTAAACCCTCCAATGGCGGTTTCTCTCTCCTAAACCCTCACCATTTCCACCATCTTCTTTTTTCTCTCTCCTCCAACAATGGGCGAAAACATCAAATTCTACGCTTTGGTAAGACTCTTCCACCATATTTCAACCTCAAGAACTGCCCAAATCAAACGCACTAAATTTCGCAGATTCCTCGATTCTTACTGCGTGAAACCCACTGATTATTTCCCTTCAATCCGCTTAATTCTACCTTCATTAGACCGCGAAAGAGGTTCCTATGGTCTCAAAGAAGCTTCCCTCGCTCTCCTCCTTCTCGACGCACTCGCTGTTTCTCGGGATTCCGAAGATGCCCAGAAGCTCATCAATTGGCGAAAAGGAGGTTCCAGAATCGCCGGAAAATACGCCGGAAACTTCTCTATGGTCGCCGCCGAATTCCTCCAACGGCGGCAGTCTTCCGTCTCCGGCGAGTTGACTATCCGGGAAGTGAATGATCTCCTCGATCGGCTTGCGAATGCGGATACTCGCAATGCGAAGGTGGATGTGCTGGGGGAGATGATAAGGAAGACGAATCCGTCGGAGATGAAGTGGATAATTGTGATCATATTGAAGGAGTTGAAGATTGGGATGACTGAGAAGAGTATATTTGATGTGTTTCATCCTGATGCTGAGGAATTGTTCAACGTAACGTGTGATTTACGGCTAGTTTGTGAGAAATTGACTGATCCGAAAGTCCGGCATAAGCGGCAGGACATTGAGGTTGGGAAAGCTGTGAAACCTCAGATGGCTGAGAGAGCTGCGAGCTGTGGAGAAGCTATGAAGAGGCTTCATAGGAAGGAAGTCGTCGCCGAGGTTAAGTTCGATGGAGAAAGGTTTCAAGTTCATAAGAATGGCGGGAAGGTAAAATTCTATTCTAAAAATTATAAAGATCATAGTGAATATGAACCTGCTATGTCGAATGTTATAATTGAGAATGTGTTAGTTGATAAGTGTATACTTGATGGGGAGCTGTTGGGTTGGGATAGTTCGAGGAATAAATTTACCAAGTTCGGGTTGAATCAGGAGATGGCTAAGGCTGCTAGGGAAGGTATAGAGAGTGATAGGAAATTGTGTTATGTTGCTTTTGATGTTTTGTATGTTGGGGATACTAGTGTGATTCATCAAACATTGAAAGAGAGGCATGAACATCTTAGGAAGGTTGTGAGAACTGTAAAGGGTCGTTTAGAGACCTCGGTGCCAAATGCCAATCGCGGTGATGGTGAGCCGTGTTGGTCTATTGTGGCTAACCATGTGGATGATGTTGAGAGGTTTTTTAAGGAGAAGGTTGGGAATGAGGGGGAAGAAGGGATTGTTATAAAAGACCTTGGTTCGAAGTGGGAACCGGGTGATAGGAATAAGAAGAAGTGGGTTAAAGTGAAGCCTGATTATGTTAATGCTGGGTCTGATTTGGATGTTCTGATCATTGGAGGGTATTATGGTTCAGGTCGTCAAGGAGGGGAGGTGGGTCAGTTTCTGGTTGGCCTTGCAGAGAGGCTTACTCCAGGTACTTACCCTAGGAGGTTTGTTTCCTTTGCTAGGGTGGGTACAGGACTTACTGATGAAGAGCGTGATGAATTGGTGACTAAGTTGAAGCCGTATTTTAGGAAGTCTGAGAAGAAGTCAGCCCCGAGTTTTTATGAAGTTACTAATAAGGAAAAGCCCGATGTTTGGGTTGAGAGCCCTGAGAAGTCAGTGATTATGTCAATTTCTAGTGATATTCGTCCCATACTTTCTGATGTGTATGCCGCACCTTACTCCTTGAGGTTTCCTCGGTTTGACTGGGTAAGATATGACAAGCCTTGGCATGAATGTCTTGATGTTCAGTCTTTCTTGGAGATAATACAATCGAGTGGGACAACACGAAGAGGAGGTGCAGAAGGGTTTTCAGATGGTAAATCAAAACGTGGAAGGGCTGCAATAAAGGGAGGAAGGCTCAATGTCACAGTTCCTTCTCATTTCACTCGGACTGATGTTTCTAGTGTGAAGGGGGAATCACAAATATTTTCTAATAAGGTGTTTTACTTTGTGAATGTGCCTTCTGATCATTCCTTGGATTCTATGCACAAGTTGGCTGTCGAGAATGGTGGAACTTTCTCCATGAATTTGAATGACACCGTTACTCTTTGCATCGGTGCAGAGAGTCGAGGGATCAAGTATGAGGTAACAAAGAGCCGTGGATGTGACATTATCCACTACTCTTGGGTTCTCGATTGTTGCTCGCAGAAGCAGCTTCTTCCCTTGAGGCCCAAACATTTTGTCTTCCTTTCGGATTCTTCAAGAAAGAAGTTACAGGAGGAGATTGATGAATTCTCAGACTCTTACTTTTGGGACGTTGATGTTGCTGAGTTGAAACAGACTTTTGGCAATGTAAATAGATCAGAAGATGCAAAAATGGTTGACCATTACAAAAAAAAGTACTGTCCGTGTGAAAAATGGGGTCGTTTCCATGGTTGCTGCATATATTTCTATTTATGTGCAAAGTCCCACTGTTCTAATTGGGACATCTTTTTGAAAATAGCCACAAGGAGGATGAAAGCAGAAGTTTCTGTAGGTGGTGGGAAAGTTTGTGACAACCTTTCTCAAGCAACTCATATAGTAGTCATGTCAATTCCCGGACATGAGCTGAAGTTTGAAACCTTGTTGCAGAGTTTTCCAGGAGACCAAAAGTACATCTTACGTAGAAAAAGACTACATGTTATTGGATCACAGTGGTTGGAGGATTGTCTCAAGGAGGGGCAGAAATTGCCAGAAGTAGCATACAACCTGAAGCCAACTACATATGAAGAATCTACCTCTGAAGAGGAGAAAGGTGGAGATGAAAATGTTTATGGGAAGCACCCAACTTCCTCTGCTCATGAAGAAAAGTCGAGTGAATCTGTTTTAGAAACCATTCCTCATATTAGGGAACCCAGAAGAAAACGAGGAAGGCCTGTTGGAACTAGCACTAAGAAAAGCAAAACCGTTGTCAGCAAACCTCCAGTAACAAAAAGGGCCAGAGTTGGAAGCAAGCCTGCTAAATTACAGGAAATTGCCTTTGATAATGAGAGTCACAAGACTAGTAAGCAAGAAGCTGATGCACCAGTTGCAGCGAGCCCTGAACATAAAATGCATGATCATGTTTTTCAGGGGATTGCTTTTGATCATAAGCCTGCCAAGCAAGATACTGATACACTGGAAAAATCTGGTCTTGAAACTGAGAATATTGGATTAGGTTCAAGACATGGTTTATCAAGCAGTAACGAGGAGAGTAAGGAAGAAAACAAGACTGATGAACTGATGAAAGCAAGCCCTGAACATGAACTGGATGATAAGCCTAGTCACCGGAAGACTAATGCAACAGGAAAGTTTGGTCTTGAAAAGAATGAAGAGAATACGGTTGAGCACAAGCCTGATTTAAATGCGACAGGGACACACTGCTTGGACAATGCTGGCTCTGTTACTTGCAGTAAACCTGATAAAGATAGTGATTACTCTACTTCAGGGATGTTGCTAGATTTGATCCCAAGTCTCAAAAGGTTGTCTGAAGATGCGAATGTTAATTTACCATCAACACTAACACAAGAGGATTCTTCCATGGAATCACCCACTGGAGAACCAGTGAAGAAGAAGAAAGTTAGCTATAGGGAACTTGCAAAGCAGCTACTTAAAGATTGATGGTCTGATCACTCTGATTTGATTTAATTGACTATTTTCTGTTTTTGTGATCAGTTGTTATATGTTGTACAGTGACAATTGAATGTATCTTGCATAATCTACTCTCTAGGCCCCGTTCTCTTCTCCTTGAAGAAATAATGCTCCGTATTTAGATAAAATAATTTTAAGTTTAGTAAATTTATTTCAAGTACAATAATATGATTTCAGTTACTAAAAAATACTGGGTTTCATGATATGAGAAGCGAATGGCTGTCAATGTCCAAAGAAGCCTTAAAAGAGTACAGGCAGGAAGAAGGCAAATATTACACATTATTTTTTACAGGAGTATACCAATAAACAAGGATAATTACAAGGAAATGAAACAAGATTTAGCTTCAGATCCTAGAAGGGATCATCGGTGTGCTGTTCTGCAGGTATGCAGCGGCTGCTGCAACTCCGCTACCCAGCTTTACAGGGTAACCCACATCCTTAAGTATCATCTCCACCCCAGCCAAACAACCAAGCAGTTGCAACTGCAACACAGTATGAAGGGTTAGACACAAATTAGAGCTGAAGGTGCTTAATATTCTTACATGATTGAACAAGGAAACTGCGCGTACCTCATTCAAGTGACCTAGATGCCCTATTCTGAAAACCTTTCCAGCTACTTTGTTAAGACCAAGGCCCAAGCTCATATTATATCTCTCCCATGCTCTCTTCACAATTTGATTGCTGTTAATGTGGGGAGGAACGACCACAGCAGTCACGGTGTCACTGAACCATTCTTCTTTTTGTGTACAGTTCTTTAAACCCCAAGCCTCTACTGCAAGTCTGCATCTCAAGATCATAAGCATCTACAATATATTCTCCTATCAATCTTTCTTTTGATGAAGAGGCAATGTATGTGTCAAACCCCACACCCACCTAGACACTGTACTTAACCGGACAAGCTATGTAACATCCACATTTAGAGCATGAAATGATCATCCCTAATCACATATATGAACTGAATTCACAATATGTGTGCAATTGCAGGTGTTTCAGAAGAGCATGGTAGTGAATTTGAGAAAGAATCTTCTATCTGCATTCACTATAGCTCTTATCACCTTTAAAAAAAAGTTTCAGGAAAATTTAAGCTTGAATAAGTTCAGATAGTTTTACGCGCAGACAAAATATGATAAGATGGTGTTTTTGACATGAGAAGAACTAACAAAGCCGTTATCACAGATATTGGATGGATTTAAATAGGCATACCTGGTTGCTTTTCCCATGCGGCTATGCCTTGCAATGACATTGTCAAGGCCTTCCTCAAAAATCAGTTCCAAAGCAGCTTTGAGACCATAGAGGAGTTGGATGGATGGAGTGTAAGGCCAGTAACTTCCTGCCTTGTAAAACTTCAAGTAATCGTTCCAATCAAAGAAAACTCTGACAGATTTGGCTGTCTTGCTTGCCTCTAGAGCTTTGGGGCTTGCACAAACAATACCCATCCCAGTCGGAAGAGAAAGAGCCTTCTGAGACCCAGTCAAGGCAACATCTACTCCCCACTCATCCATGCGGAAATCTAGAGCACAGATCGAGGACACTCCATCAACAAGAAAGAGTGCAGGGTGGTTGTAGTGGTCTGAAAATAGTCAGAACAATCTTCAAGTTAGCTTTCATATATTCAAGAAATAAGAACATGGACAAAAAAATTATCCAAGCAGTCCCAAGAAAAATGGTGCCTATGTAATAAAACCATGTACATTTCATTTTAACTAGGCCATTTTTTTTTTTAGAACAAAGTACTCTATTTCTCTAACAGCTCTGACCAGTTTTTGCAGGCTGACGAGATAACGATTAATCAATTAAATATTTGTTGTATTCAATGATTTTCATGTAATCGATACTGAAAAATTCATATAAGCTATAACATGTATCTGATCTGAGGTAGAAAAGTTACCCAAAATCTTCCTGACAGTGGCCAGATTGTTGGTAACTCCAGTTGCAGTCTCATTATGGACAATGCAGATAGCCTTGATTTTGTGTGCAGTATCAGCTGCCAGTTTTGATGCCATGGCTTCAAGGTTGGCACCATAACCCCACTCACTCTCTATGACATCAACATCGAAGCCAAGGCGTTTCTGCTGATCAATCCAGAGCAAGCTGAATTGCCCGATCAGGAAGGATATAGTTCGGTCTCCAGGAGATAAAGTGTTTGTCAGTGCACTTTCCCATGCACCAGTACCTGTAAAAGAGCCATATAGTAGATATTAACTGATATGTCCACTGAAAATTTACAATATTATGGTTCAAGCATCAATATTACAAAGATTTAACAGGTTCAAGCATTTTTTTTCTTGTAGGATTCATTAGTACCTGTGGCTTTTTCATAATTAAAGCAAGGAGATGTGTCCCGTTAGATTCATACAATTATCTATGCTACATACCTTATGGTACAAAGATAGTATGCAAGCAGTAAACCTAGGTACCTAATGAATCATGAAGTAACAAAAAAAATTCAAAAAAAGATGCCTGCAGTTTACAGTAAAAAAATGACAGTAGTACCTGTAGTGGGGATCATAAATGGGGTTCCTGTGGTAGTTTTGAAAATTTTCTTGACATCTTCAAGAAGTGATTTTGTCAGTGCTGGAATCGCAGGTGCACGATAATCTTCGTTGTTTCGATTCATGGCTCTAATGACAGGTTCCGGGATATTGACAGGTCCCGGAACAAAGAGATGATGTCTCCCTGGCCCATTCATGTAGTCCATCTTCTCCTCCCCTTAACTAAAATGTCAAATTATTGTTAAATTAAGTCACTGAAACTGCAAAACCAACACAGAAAATAGTATCATTGAAGGAATCCTGCACTATGTCACAAGTACAGAAATTATATTTGCCATCAAAGATTATTTACATACATATTTTTATATTTATGAATCTTCAAGATGAAAACCACATGAAAGTCCACATGCTAAGGCATAAAAGCATTTGTCAATCAATTGTACAATGTTTAGGCACAACATATTTGCCCACCCTTCTCATTAAATCAAATCAACAATAAAGAATTCTGTCAATCAATAGTTCCACAGTCAATTTGGGTTACATACTTGCATGAATATATTTTCTCAAAAGAGTAGGGACCCCACTATAAAACCAAATGCTATAGAAGGTTTTTTACTTGGGATTTGTATACAACCGTCCTAGGATTTTAGAGCTAAAGTAGCATCCACTCGTCAACTTAACTTCATATCATCAAAAGTTGAATTTAGAATGTAAAGTGTACTTATTTGGTCGATTCATAACTATACATGAGAACCAGTCTCAAAGTAAGCACTACTTTGAATAGAATTTTATTGACAAACACTAAGGATACTATTTCATTGATAACATATACATCCTACAAATGGTTTACATAGATTACAAACCTTATGAAATGAAACTTCTTTATAATCGCAATCTTATCAACAAGTATAAATTTTTCCGTTCAGCCTGACTACCAATAAACTATTCCGAGATTTTTCAAGTAGAAAAATTATCAAAACATCTAGTAGGATATTTACAAATAGTTATTAAAACATAGAGGACTATATATTAGATTACTAAAAATAGCAAAAAGGCAAAAACAGAAGTCAAAGGCATGATTACCAGAAAATCTTGCTTCAAACTCCCAAATGATGTAGCAGGTTGCAGAGGAAACTGACTGATACTAAGTACTAACCAACCCAAAAGAGTTAAGGTATGCCAATTAAATATTGTTTAAAAAAAAAGAAAATTTTTTAAAAGAGAAAACACAAAATTTAGAATATTATATAAACCACCATTTTTATGATTTTTTTTTTTTTACAAGGAGGGATATGATATGATATTATTTAACGTACACTGAGGTGGATCCCACGCCATATCCTTAAACGTGGCAGATAAGGATTCTCCTTCTTCCAACCTTTGCGGCCGAAAATTGCTTACATCAGCTCTTAAAATAGAGCTCAACAATATTATCAAGAAATAAATAAAAAATTACACTTCAAGTCAAAAAATTGAAATAAATTGTTCTGGTCTAAATTTTTTTAAATTTTATTATAGTATCTTATCTTTTAATTTGAGTAAACTTTGATCATATATTTGTATGTTCTTATTTGGAGGGAAAAAACAAAAAAAAAAAAAAAAAAAAAAAAAAAACATTATAAACGGCATGCTAATAGTATGCGTTTCAAATATTTAATTTTAAAATTATTACAATATTATCCTAAATAACTGGCAATGTTTAAATGCAAATTAGATAATTTATATTGCCCGGATTATTCAAGTCTACGAGTAATTTAATATGATATGATTCTTATACGTATAATTAATAAGTTTCACGAAATAAGTTGGAACAGCAATTAGACATAGTCTAAGTTGGCGAAGTATTAGAGATAAGATCTCTCATTGTGTTGCTTATAGCATATTGCATATTGCACATTGGAATGTAGTTCCTCAATTAATGTTGTAGCTGTTCATTTTAAATGCATGATAATGATTTTTTTTTTTTTTTTTAAAAAAAAAATAAAATAAAAATTCATCTATCATTTTCCAATTTTTTTCTATCAAATTTTAATTATTAATAAATCAATGCACTTTTTAAATGCTTCTTCTTTCCTTTTTGAACTAAATGGAACTTTCAGAGTATCCAACATGAATTGAGTCATTAACCATTAATACTACCTCCGTTAACAGTTATTTGCAACGATTAGACATTTTTTCCTCTCTAATTTATGTCAAATCGTTGCAAATAACTGTTAACGGAGGTAGTATATTGGACTAAATATATTGTATTAATAATTGAAAAATGTGTATCAATGATTCCAACAAACCTAGAGTACTTCCTAGGGGTGCTAATTGAGCGAGTCGATCACGAGCTAAGAGGTGCTCGACTCGACTCAAAATTTTTTTACATGTGCTCAACTCGTGCTCGCTAAAGTTACAAGTCAATAAGACCTGCTCGACTCGTGCTCGTTGAGGTTTTGTGTCGAGTCGAGTAGCTCACGATCTGCTCGTGAAAGTTTTGGTCCTTTTAAAATTATAGGCCATAATTTTTTTTGTTCACTTTATATAGTTTTCTTATTTATTTATCTATTATTATTAAAGATTTACTCTTTCTTTTTTTATAATATAAATTAATTCTTATTAAGTGTCAAATTATTTTAAACATTGTAACTTCGTTTGTAAATTATATACTAATAAAATATATTATTGAGTTGCTCACGAGATTATCGAGTCGAGTTAAAGCTTGCTCAACTCGTGCTCGTTTACATCTCGAGTTGAGCCGAATTCGAGTCGAGCCAACTCGAACTTAGTTTTGACCGAGCTTTGACCGAGTCGAGTTCGAGTTGTTCACGAGCTGCTCAACTCGATTAGCACCCCTAGTACTTCCTATGTTCGACCAAATACCACTTATCCATGGCAATTTAAATAAAAAATAAAAATTTAAAACGCTTAATCACTTAACTTAGGGTTCATTTGGTATCGTTGTGGTATTTTGTTTTTTGGTTTTTTGTTTTTCATTGTCATATGATATATGTTATATAATGAATAAAAAATGAGTCAATCATGATAATTTTGAAAACCGACAACAGAAAAGTGGAAACATCTTTTCTTGTTTTTGGTTTTTTGTTTTAAAAAAACAAAAAATTAAAAATAAAAAACAATGTCAAACAAGCCCTTAACAATAAGATTAATATCCCGTAAAAAAAAAAAAAAAAAAAAAAAAAAAGTTAAAAATCTTAATATCCTTTCAAAAAAAAAAAAAAAAAAAAAAAAAAGAAAAAGTTCTAATAACCATACACATCAACAAAGTTGAAGCATAAAACCTCCCAAAATTGTAAAAAGTGCAAAATTAAATTTTACATAATGTAGAATCCTTTATTCATTTAATTTTATTTTATTTTGGGGCTGAGAAAGCTAAGTAATAGATAATAAGATAACGAAGCATCAACCACAATCTTCCCAGGAAGGCAACTACCACACAACTACGCGCTATAGCTGCTCCGATGTGTTTTCCTATGATGTGGATCCTTCTCAAATTTTTGTTCCTTCTCTACTGTAGATTTGTACATACATTATAGAGAAACAAGAAACCAAACACCGGGGACGTGTGATCATTTGGAGCATTCCTCCAGAACCTCATCTTAGCAATGTCAAAAACATTAGGATTAGGCTATCAAACATACTTCCAAAGTCCGAGCTTTCGCCAGCAGTACATGAGTGACCAATTGCAAATACTTACAAAAAGAATGGAAATCATTTTAATTACATAGAAAAAGACATCATCAAAATATAAAGATCTTAATTGGTAACCAATTATTGATTCTATTTAGTTCCCTGGGTCTGAAACATGTTCTTGAAGTTCTATAATTCTCACTTGTCTAATAAACACTGAAGTTCATGAATTAATGCTAGTAGTAAACTTAGTTTAAACTTGCCCATGTAACAAAGATTCCCAAACACATAATATTGGCCTATGATTCTCGTACTCTTAATTTCACTTGCAAAAGCTCATTTCTTCTATCCTAGACAATTAACACTCTAAACTATGGACCAATACACCGATATTTTTCATAATATAGCTCAGTAAGACACTTGGACACATACCCGTGTCTCACATGAGCACCACCTGAGTCCAAGTGACAGCTCTCTTGTCAAACACCGCTTAGGATTCTAGATAACCTGGGTGTCATTATAAGGTAGACTCCAACAAGAATCATACTTAAGCTGTTTAGCAAGAACTGACCTTAAAGTGAAGTCCAGATCAACAAATGGCAAGAGAATCATCACGCACGAATATTCAGATCTTGATTCACTTTGAACATCAGGCAGTCAGGCCCTCATCAATTGGAAGCATCAGCGTAAATTCAATCAAAACGATATATTATCAGGAGATTCAAGAATCTGGCAATAAACCAGCTGCATTCAATAGAATAAAACTGTAAAAGATATCCTATCCTCGATAGCAAACATGTGACAAGAATGGAATGCACTGTTACCTCATATTGGCGATGCACCTTGAGCGATCAAATTTCACCATCTTAAGAAAAAGATCTTCATCTGACTCAAGATACAGATGGTGAAGGAAAAACAACAGAGAAAAGCACAGTTAGCAGTAACGGAGTATAAAAACAAAGATTACAGCAGATATTCATTGATTTGGGTGAATGGGTTAGAAAAAGAGAGCAACAGAACAATTGCAAAACAAAAACAAAAGCAATCAATCTCAATGTTGTATAAATGGGAATGTAAACTTTTATCATCAATCAAAAAGTATCTACAAGCTGCTTGCAGTGACCAAAATTGATTTTGATAACAAAACTGAATAATGTACATTTCTGAAGGCGCGCTAACTTCGGTAAGTACTAAATACAGCATCCACCCAGTATGAGTAGATTACAAAGAAACTAGGTTAAAGACCTCTCTACATTTCTTTCTCTACTTTAAACTATACTTGTAAGCAAATTGCTGGCCTCTATCTAAAAGAAAAAACAAAACACAGCTTTTGCCAGGACTCAAATAGACAAATACATCTTCATTTGTCTGTGTTACTTGTCACTGCTTATGTCAAAGTGTAGATGATTGTACTTTCTAACCATTAAACCAGGACGCTGCTATCTGGCATCCCAAGGCTTAACGTTGGCCATTTTGACAACAAATAAAATATTATTATCCCCGCGGGCCAATAAAATTTTGAGGGGCTAGTCGCTGCAAGAGCATGACCCCATCAGGTGGCAAAAGAGCAATCTGAAATCTTTCCTGTAACAGCATTCAGTCCACCTTCATTTGGACAGCTACCTAATACCTGATGAGAAACCCTGCCTCTGTTGGAAACCGCCTGGACGTATCTTGTACGGCCTCTCATTATTATAAGGCCTGCTGTCAGCTGGTGCAGCACCCAATATTCCCAAAGAATTTGACGCTGGCAATCTCTGACCATTACTCGAAGGTTTCTGGAAAGGGTCTTCCGCCACTAAGAAAGCATCTGTCTCAGCTCTTTTCTTCCGTTTCCATGCCTCAAACTTTGCTGGATCATGGAGTTTGAGACCCGGTTCACCTGTTTGATAAGAGTTATTGTTCTGTAGTCCCTTCAGTCTAGCTGACTGACGCTGGAAGGCGTTATTTCCATTGATGTGGGACGGCCCCAACCTAGCTTCATCTTCCTGTTCCTGCTTAAGTTTGGAATAAATTTGACACAACCTGTCCCCGGTCAAATTAGAATAGGTTGAAACGTATTTCCATAAACGCATCATCATTCCTAACAAACGGAGAAAGTTAGGATCAGATCATCAGACTTAAAATATCATTCGAAAAGAACTAAATCCGGATTCAACTGAAGAGCAGTGATGATAAGCAGCACACACTGTTTCACTATCTGAAAACAGAGCTCCCAAACTAGCCAGGTTGGCACAAATGAAAATAAGGTAAAACAAAATTATCAGAAAGCAATTGAACTTACGATCTTGTTTATGCGGTTCACGCTCATGTTCAAAAACTACTTGATCAATTCTCCTGCCAATAAGTTGCAAATACTTGCGGATCTTTGAGAGTACCTGTACCAAGAAGGGAACAGGGTTACAAAAAAGACAAACGTTAGCTTCAAAGACATCAAAGTTGTTGACATAGCAAAAGTTGACAAAACAACCTTCTCCTTAGGAAGGTCAGCGCTAGTAGTCTGCAACTTCTGAAGACGTTTCAAAGTCCTTTCCTCTTCCATCATGACATCTTCACACCATTCCATCCATTTCACTTCCTTGAATTGCTCGTAAACTTCTTCATTATCAGACATTTCTCCTTCTTCTTTAACTAAAGGTTCTACTTTCTGGGATCTT